ATATGCAACAGTCCCTACTCTCCTCACTTCCTAAATAGTGTTTAATTTCATGCCAGGAGAACAGATCTTTCCAACATTTGTCTTTTGTCTGAGATTCAGCCTTTAAGACTTTTCATAAAACTAGACACTAGTAAACTTGAGCAACAAAATGTAATAATGGGTTCAATTATGTTTTCAAAACAGTACTCATGGTCACTGGATTAGCCTGGTGAGATATTGTAAATTGAATGATTCACAGCATATATTAAATCATCTGTTTAAAAAAGGTCACATGTGAGATCAAATGAAAAGTCATGTGTGCAGTTATGAATGATTATAGTCAGGCATTGTATTTCTCCTTTTTTGAAGGTTGCACCATAACATTATTTTCATTATTGTTGACACCCATCTTTCAAAGGCCTTTTTTCACGAAATAGATGAATCGATTTGTCTTTAAAATGTCTGAAATAGAGACCATTTCTTAAAATACAAAAGCATAAAACCCTTACAGCTGAGAAGCTGAAACTAATAAAGGTCTGGCATATTTTGCCAGAAAAATACCTCAAGTTATTGATGAGTTAGTTATGTTATTGATTATTAGAATAATTGCAGACTAATTTTCTGTTCATCAACAAATCAGTGAATAGTTTCAGCTTTAAAGGTGACCTATCATGCAAAATGCACTTTTGTACGTCTTGTATACATGAATATGTGTCCCCGGTGTTCCAGGGAACTCACCAAGTGTCAGAAAACACAACCCTCTCTATTTTCCTCCATACCCAAATCTCTTAAAAAGGGGCTGCAACGGATCTGATACAGACTGATCCAGATTTGAACACTTACTATGAACGTCACAGAAGTGGCGCTAGGGATATTGGGCCAACTCCACCAATCAGGAGGAGACAGCCACGGACATTGCCGTTCGAAAGCGCTGGATACGCTTTTATACGTAGTACATATGCCAGGCCTGTAGATGATGCTGTTCTCACAGAATCAGCCCATGCAAAGACAGTGTTAAATTGAGCGAAATGAGGAATGGCTAAAATGCATGATCTGCTTGGTATTTTGAAAAATAAAAAGTATAAATATGCCTTATATAGGTATGGTCCTACACTATATTATTCAAATATAGCATGATAGGTCCACTTTAAGGAGCAATGCCTGGTATTAATCCATTCATACTCTACTTACTGTATGTCCATTCAGTTTAATGTATAAATTAAGACATTTTAAATTAGGCTTAGACATTTAAATTACACAAGATCACTCTTGGCATCATTCTAACTAAACTACATGACATGGTGTATTTGAAAAGAATCATGCAAACTAAACCATATGGGCCCTCAAATAATAATATTCCCTTTAATCTGGAGGGTATCTTTTCCATAACTTCTAATAAACCTCCATCAGCAGGGAGTCTTTCACCATGAACAGAAGTCTCTCAGAATCTGCGGTATGATCCGAATCAAACCGAGAGGCACACAATCACACAGCATACGGTGCACAGCCTTTGTGTATTAAAATGTACCTCCAGAAGTTTTACTGACAAGTGTAATAAATCAAGGCGGGACCTTCCCGCTGAACCACGTCAGAACAAATGGATCCCGCCAGAAGGCTAATTCCCCACCAGCCTCTGTATAAACACAGAGATGGTGGAGGCAGAGGAGCAGAGGGTGAGGAGGGGGGAGGCAGGGCGATGAGGGATAGTCAGGAATTCACTGGCCAGTCAGAGAGAGTTGGGAGGGTTTGGGGGAGATTATAGGAGAGATGATTGATGAGTTGACCGCATTTATGACAAAAAAAAGTTATAAGGGATTTTATTTTTAAGCCCCTGAGTGGATCCACTCTGTAGATGCAGTTATATGTTCAACAAAAGGCTTATGTTACCATTGCATTTGATTTAATTTGGGGTAATTCAATTCATTTTTGTAAGAGCATCTGATGCCTTTTTTTTCAAAATAACTAAAATGTTTAAGCAAACAGAAGATAACAAAAGCATGAGAAAGAAGGTACATGCACAATGAAATAAGTGAAAGAAATAATGAATTATAATGAGGTTACTGAGTCAACGCCAGAGTGTCTAATAACCAGGCGTCATTGAGCAACACATGAAATCTCACCTGCTTAGTCACTGTAAGATGCAGTGGATACAAAATACCTAAAAGCTAAATGCTGCCTGATAAGGGAGAGGCTTAATAAATGCTAGGTATTATTAACAGTCTGCTGCTGATGAGTGAGGTGCTGGTTGTGAATAAGCTGTGAAAGTAAGAGCATGCATTAACACTGACATTAAATGTTTTATTCAATATTTCCTGAAGCTGCCATCTTTACAGATACACTTCAGGCAGCACATCAAGAAGGTTTATGTTAAATAAACAGTACCTCCTTCCTCACTACTCAATTGATGAAGGCACCCTGCATTAGCATCTGCCAGATGTGGCTAATATTGTGCCAGTTGCATACTAACATAATATACCATGTCCTACTTAAATTAAATGAATCTTCAGGAATGTATTTCCTAAACGGTTTTGAAACTATTCTCACAGAAGGTAAGTTGAGTTAGCTGCCAGTGTTTCTGAACTGTTTATTTGATTGGAATATTCAACCTCGTAATAATTCTGTTTTACGGTTCAAGAGCCCATTTTGTATGATTACTTGTCAGATTTTTTCTGTATCTATTTCTTTATCTTTAATTCCTGTTATTGTATTTGTATTGCTGACATTTTAAATTATTTTATTTTTAGGATCCCTTTTCCTCCAGACTCTTTTTAATACGTTTTGTTTTAATTGATTCATGAGCTCAAAGTTGTAGGTTAAATCGTTCTCATGCAACATGCAAGAATAGAACATGTTTTGGAAAATAAGGGAACTTCAACTTTGGACAGATGAACCATGCACCAGCAGTTTGATCTCAGGATTATAGTGATTTATGAGACGAATAATATCTTATTTTCTCTCAACTTTTTCTCCGTTTTCTTTGTTATAATTAGTAACTAAATGTAATTTACCCTATGATATACTAGTAACGATTCAAATAACTCTTTGAAATTAAACACATTCAAAATAAAAAACAACTATAAAAGGAGTAAATTTCATTGCTCCAACAACTGATTATCCATCACGATACATTTAGCAATTTCCTCCTTAGTGTTAATATTTGAGTTTTTGAGTGAAACTGAGAAACGGTGAGTTGGATTTCTCCCGACCTTATTCCCATGATAGCTGCCACAGACAGAGTTGGTTTATGCTTACTGGTCTGGTCAAATAAACCATACCAACTGAATGCCACCCACATGCCCTGTAAATCAAAACAGCCAGGATGAATGTCAACATTAAACAGGAATTAAAGACCATTGGGAGGCTAATAAACATAGATTTCAGACTTTGTGTCACAGCTTATTTCCCAATCAGTCAATCCCTCCCTGTCTTTGTTTTTCTTTTGTTTTTCTTGGAATAAAGAGACTACCCCTGTCACTAAAAATAAAGCTTCTGGGCTGATGAATACCACAGAGCTGTCCTTTACTGAGGTATGTTGAGTCCAGACTGAACATGCAGGCAAGGTGTGACACCTAGTGGACGGTTGGTAAACAGGAAAGAGACACAAATAAGAAAAGTTATCTGATTTGCAGCTGCATTTTGCCGTTAAAAAAACAAACAAAGGCCTCATAGTGTTTTTACATATGGTATTCTGATGAACTAATATCGTTGATGTCTGAAAAGTGGAGAGTGATGCTATCTAGTTGTTCCAATAATGGGCATCATAGCTTACCTGCATGAATGAGAGCTGATCAACATCACCATTTCTCATACCAAACCAAATTCAGCTACAACAAAAACGTTCTCCTATCTTTAGCTTTTAACACACATGTTTCACCCTATGTAGCAACTCAACCAAGCAGGTTGACAAAAGGGTCACTCGCACAGAGGAAAAGTTCTCTCCGAGTTCACTCTAAAGAGCAGCCTGTCTTGTCAAAGAGGGAAAACAAAACACTGCTTTAATTAGATTTTCAACTAATTGCATAATTTCTCCCATGGTGCTGCAGGGTGAAGTGAGGCATAAGGAAGGAGAAGAATGCTGGCATTGTTGCCTTCTTGCTGGCTTTGGCTCTCGCATCAGCCCATGGACAGCCTGATCTCCTGTACTGCTCACCCCAAAACACCAAACAAGCAGTGACGCACAGATAGGCAGGTGAAGAGGTATGGTAGACAAGCATTCTGTGTCTGATCCGTGGAGATGCAGTTAAATGTCTCGTTCAAAACCAGTGTCAAGTTGTTATACTGCAGGCAAAGGATTTGCAGTAAGCTTTTCAATGATTTATTGGGTTCTTTTGGGGTTTTATATTAAGCTGAAGGTGATAGTCGAGAGAAAATGTGCAATTCATGAATTGCCAATGTCATCTCCAGCTACTCAAACACTTTTTTGTCAGTGTAAAATGACACTTTTTGAAACGTGTTCTGCAGATCAGACTAAAGAAACTATTTCTAAATCTAAAATTGAACTTTTGGAACTTGGTTGTCAAATATTGATATGATATTGACATTTTCTGACATTATGTCTCTATCAGATAGATACAATATATAATGTTTAATAATACTAATAAATATAATGCAATGCAGACGTTATTTAAGTATAAGTAAGATGGCACAATTCACACCAATGTTTGACATGAGTACAGATGTTCTCTGTTGTTTAATTTATCTGATGATTCAGGTTGTAAAACCAGCTGAAAACTCAAAAGAGCACAATTTTCAGAGAAAACTGTAATTGAGTTCCTCTTTGATTTTTTCTTTCACATTTTCAGTGGTGGTTTCTCTAGTTTTGAGGTCACCACTCAAAGTTTATTACAAACAGTATAAAAGGCCCAAACGTCCCTCTCCCCTCAGTGTCCCCCCAAAACGCTGAGCAGAATAATGAGCAGTAAACAAGGGGAGCTGAGGGGAGGGAGAAGATGGGGTGTCCAAGTTGAACTGATGGGGTGACAAAAGAGGGGGAGTCTCCACAGAGACTGAGAGGAGCTGTTCGAGTCACATGGCCCGGGTTTCTATTGAAACCAGTGGGAAGAGGCTTGAAGCTCAGCCTTTAGTCCATGTTTTGGATGCCAAAGGCAGCAACATGAGTGGAGCCCACCAGGACGGAGAAATAATGGCAGACAGCCTCCATGTGAACACCACGGCAGCTCTGGGACTGCATGACCAGGAGATGGACTCAGCTCTGTCTGGTGTGTTGTTCTCTTTATATCAGTTGAGTTTTTATTCACAATGGACTTTCTGATGTGGTAAAGTGCTTCTTCTAAGTAACGTGTGTGTTTCCTTCCTTCTACCCAGAGTTCAAAGTGTTTAACATTGTCATCATCGCCCTGGCCTTGTGTATCCTCACTATCACTGGCCTGTACTGCATCACCGTCTGCTACAACCGCACCAGGTGAGGATCAGATACCAGATGAGTCTTGATACTTTAAAATATGTCACCTTTATTCAGAACCATGGAAGTGTTGGGAGGAAATCAGACATTTAAATCATGATGGTTTTAGTTATGCTGTCTCATGGCATACACTGAGATCGTATGTCCTTTACTGACTTGGATAGTGTGTCTGGGTAGAGTTGTCTCAAGTTGCCAACAGCTGCTGTGCACTCTGTTGAAAAGACGATTTCTGCTGTTAGCTAGCTAGCAGCTTTACTTGCCTGGTATCAAGGTACCATTACAGCATAGGTGAGAAGTAACCAAGTACATTTACTCAAGCACTGTACTTAAGTACAATTTTTAGATACTTGAACTATACTTACTAGTATTTAAATGTTGTTGCTATTATATAGTTCTACTCCACTACAATTCAGAGGTTAATCATGTACTTTTACTCCACTATATTTATTATACCTTTAGTTGCTTTACAGATTTGGACGAATGATTTGACGAATCAACAAGAGACTTTAGTTACACCTGGAGAAAAATTCACATGCTACCTTACAGTAAAGAAAGTAATTAAAAACAGCTTTGATAAACTAATTAATGCATCAATAACTATAATCAAAACATATAATGTTTATTTTTCTGAAATTGACCAATCTGCATAATAAGTACGTTCAGTAAATTCTGATGCTTATACTTTTGTACTTTTAGTTAAGTAACCTTTTGAATGCAGGATTTTTACTTTTAACAGAGTATTTCTACACTCTGGTACTTCTACTTTTACTAAAGTACAAGATTTGAGTATTTTTCCCACCTCTGCATTACAGACTGCTCAGTTGACCCAATCAAAAAAACTTTCACAACTTATATTTGTGTAGGGTTGTGTTCACAGGAGCAAGAGCACACACAGCTGATAATTCCGTTAAGTAGCCAAGATGATGATAGCTGAGTGTGAGAAGTAACCGGGGTTTCACAGTTTTGGACCATTATTACTGGACCATCTGCAATGCATTTTACTTCTAAGTGTGAACCCACTTATGCACTCAAAAAAGCAAGTATAAGAGCACAGATGCGTAAGATTAGCAAACTAACCAATCAGGGCAGACTGTGTTTTTGGGAGCCGAATGTGAATACAGTTATATTTGTACAGACAGTATGAGAAAAAATAAGTATTTTTTTGATCATTTAAGCATCAAAACGTATTCTAATAGACAGCCAAAGATGAACTTGAAAATGAGCTCAATATGTCTCCTTTAAAGTCATTAGTGCAATTAGTCCCATCTGCTCCACCAGGCAGTCAAAGAGAGCCCACGTGTATGAGAGCGCAGTGACCCGAGGCGAGCCGGCGGACCCCGTCGCGGTCAGAGCAGTAACAAGGTCCACCAGCTTCATCAACCCTCTCGCCTTCTTCAGGAAACAAGAGGCAGCAAAGGACAACTCCAGGATCTACTACATCTACAGTAACCCGCTGCCTGTGGGCCTGAAGGAGGGAGAGGAGGAGTGCCGGACTAAAGCCTCACAGGGAGAGGAGGAGCAGACTGCACTGATGCTGCCGCTGTCTTTTCAAGAGTACGCGAAGGACCCCTGCAGTGGCATCACCCTGGACCCTCCCATTTTTTACATGCAGCTTTAGAAGGTGTTAAAGTGTTGTGTTGTGGGACTGTGACGAGAAATGATCTGAAAGTCACGAGAGAGACACTGGAATCTGAGAGGTCTGATTTTGACCCCTGCACCCAAGACTGACTAAAGTTATGTCACCATGTACACTAAAGTGGGCACTCCCATCTGTTTTTAGGAAAAGACATAGCCTGGGAATCTATAACAGAAAACCTGCGTCATAGACCGGGTACACTATACCCTTTTAGCAGGGTTGCTCTTAAATTACACCATGAGAAATGTAGGATATTATGGCTTATATACTCATACTGGGACTTAGGTTCTGAATATTCCATCCACTGCTGCTTCAATTTAGACCATTCTTAGTTTTAATCTGTGTTGTTAGTCCCATGAAAGTACAATACTGAATCTAGGTGTAAAGAGAAACAAAGTCAACAAATCTCTGTTGACTGTTTCTGTGTATTTCACTGTTTTGAATACAAAACAATGTGGATGTAAGAGCAAATATCTGTAAATATATCTGATAATAAACTGGGCAACTGCATTTGATTTTACTTGAAGAAATTTACCATTTTGACATCACTGGCTATAACAGACTGATTGACAATTGGGTAACAAACACATTAAGTGCCAGCAAAACCAGGAGGAGAAGACTGCAACCTAGCACACAGGGATGTTAATTTCAAGTAATAATCTTGAATATTTCCATTTAAATAAAATCTATCATGACGTAACACAATGGATTTAAACCCATTGAATTTGCAGAATAAAACAGGGTGTCTGCGGAAACATTTACGGGAATTGCAAGTTCACTGTTTGGTTCTCTGCAAAGAGTGATCTAAAAACACACCTGCATTATTGCTTATCACCCTAGGTGCAGCCAAAGACAAAGAAACTGAGATCTAAATTGTAAATATAAATCTTCTTAGAATGGCACAGCAAATGTTTTATAAAAACAGAACATTCATTTATCGTGTTTGTAAGGCATCAATGATACATGCGTTTTAGTAATATATGCTAAATGTAGGTACAGGACAACGCTGCCACTAATACTCATGTATATTTCTACAGTTGTCATTATAAATATCTTTTGTAAAACCATATAAGGATAGTGTTATTGAGTCGCCAATTGTTTCATTCGCCAAGCTGAACACGACACTGCCATAGTTAAAGACGTACGAAAGCATTTCTTGATTTTGTAATGATCTTTAATAAAACTGCTGATACAATGTGCTTTACAAAAGAAGCCAAGTGTGAGACACAGAGAAAGATGAGAAAATACAAACGTTTATCACTGCAGAGCAATTAATCATCTTTGCTCCAGGGCAAAAAGGATGGTACTGCAGAAAAGTCGTACTCAGGCGATGGGCTGGGTCTCTCTGATGAGCCACTCCAGCCCCCCCTTCCTGTCCTGCCTCTCCAGCTCTGCTCCGATCACCTCCCGGCAGATTCTGTGGTACTCGTTCACCCAGTCCCGCTGTAAACAGAAGAGAGCCCGTCACACCATGAACAGACTAAAGTAGTGCATGTTATGACTGAATAGCTGATATAATGGAACATTTAAAACGTTGTATGATTTTCTTACAAAGTGTTAACTAGGTTAAAGGCAATTATTTGTTGTATTTTAAGTGTTCATCATCTTACCAATAAAAACACATTTTCAATGGCTGAATTTGTATTTGATGGTCGACTCTGGTTTACCTTGGCATTAATACTGCATTTATGTTGTATACTATACATATCAAGTACTATTCGTAAACTATTCTAGCATTTAAATACACTTCATCATAGATCCCATTTTCCAGCGATAGAGAGCATTTACATTTTGTAAATAGAATACTATTTACAAAATGTAACATATTTCTTATTTCCCATATATATATATTGTAGATTAATTGCGTATTATAATGCACACATTTCTCCATACATAAATGTAACTTTTATTAAAATTTGTCTACGAGTATGAATATATTTTTTATCTAGATTTGAAGCAATTGTAATGCAACCAAATCCCTGCTTGGGATCAATTTAATATGTCTGATGATTTGAATGCTTAAACACAATCACACTGGATATCCCTTACCTCCTTCTGAGTAAGCAGCTCAGTGTTCATCATCTTGACTTGGATGGGAACCAGAGTGAGGGGCTCAAATGTCAGGCTGCCCCTGTTTCTGTAGTTGTACTGAACACACAGACAAGAGAATATTCACATCCGGATTTTCTTCATAATTAAAACTGCCATGATCAAACTCAGTAAAGAAGACCTGAATGAGGAAAAAATGGCTTTCACCCAATGACTGCCAGTGAAAGGTTTAACATATTGTTCCATGCATGCAACTCTATTATTTCCATGAGTATTTGAACATGAGGCCATGTTCTCAGTTAAAGGACCTACTTTGGGCTTAGCTGGTACAACAAGGACAACATTTTCAATACGAATGCCAAAAGCTCCATCTTCATAGTACCCAGGTTCTAGAAAAAGAGAGAATTTATAACATAATCAAACACAGAAAAGGCAAAATAATGAGTTTTTGAGGACGTAAAAATCACATGACAAGAGACAGAATCACTGGCTCAACCAAAAACCCTCCCCTCCCTCCCCCTGCCTTACCATCACTGACGATCATGCCGGCCTGCAGCGGCTCATCGGCAAAGGTCTTGTAGCTGATGCCGCACGGCCCCTCGTGGACGTTCAGGAAGCAGCCGACGCCGTGGCCCGTCCCGTGAAGGTAGTCCAGCCCCGACTCCCACAGGGCTGCGCGGGCGAATGAGTCCAACAGGTGGCCTGGGTGTGTGTGTGTGTGTGTGGGGGGGGGGGGACGCAGGATTATAGTTAGGGATCGCACTTGAGTAGGGTAAGGTTTTAATTTCGCTCCATCAGAAAGCATTTCTCCATTTTATTGAAACTTTGTGACACCTGTGTTTCCAGTGTCTAAAACGGATTGCTCTCATAGGAAAGCTATAATTTAAGTCATTTCTGTTTTTCAGAGACTAAGAATAAAAGATCTACAGTATATTCAACAAAAAACTAAAGGAATATATAAGAACTACCATCTGAATAAATCATTTTATCCTTACAATTTTTCATTGCTGTGTAAAGTGTAAAGCTTAATCGTGGAATAGTGTCAGAGAAGAGGAGAGCACCTTTTGTTCCGTTGGGGAAAACTGCAGCACTGACAGCTATGTGTCCCTTCAGCACATAGGTAAAGCATTCCTTGAGGAAAAGGGGAGAATATATAATACAAACATATTAAATCAAATTTGAATAATTAAATCAGCTTTAGTCAATCAACCCTAACCTGAGATTGAAATTATTTTTGAAAGTGAAAACCATGAAAATGCAAATATCCAAATGTACCTTCTCGTAAGCCGATGGTGTCCCAAAGTGCACGGTGCGTGTGACGTCAGTGGTCCCATCGCTGCCAAAGACAGACATTGAATACAGATGTGTGTTAGTAAGAAACACATCACTGTTCCTATGTTTTCTTGGCATTAGAGGTGATTAGTGTCTGAATTAAGACGCAAAGGTCATACAAATACTAGGCAGGGCAATTGCAGTTGATTTATGTAATATTGATCTTGTTTACACATATTGAGCTCCAGAGTCGATGAGGTAAACTTCATTCAAGGAGAGAGTTCTGTTGGTTTCAGGCAGGGGTCTAAAGGAAAGAGAAACTTAGTGAACTATTATAACAGAACGACAAAAATGTTTTCATTAAAAATACTGGCCAGCTGACCTGTAATGTATGATGGCTCCGTTGGGGCCGACGCTGGAAATTGTTGGGAAACTGAGGCCAACAAAATCTTTCTGTTGACTGAAAAAGACAAAATTATACTTAAGGAAAGGATATTTTCCACACAAAAATGCATTGATGACAGGAGATGTAATGTAATGTTCAAATGTTGTAGGATCACACTGGCACACTAAAACAGATACAAAATCAACAAATAATATTCATTTCAAAGCTTTCAGTAAACATTTGACTTCACTTCCCTGTCCAGTAGAGGGGGATATAACTCCAGTCACTATCGCAGAACAGTTTAAATTGGCATCTCTCCATGAAGCAATTCAAGGACAACAGAAGTTTAACTGGAAGTTAGGTAGTGCTTACTGGAAAAAAACATCCATGACAAATAATAATCATAATTAACATACCTGCGTAATTCTTCAGCCTTGTCGGCAGCAGAGATCTCCGTCACCGTGGCTTTTGGAATCTTAAGAACCAGGTGATGAAGAAAGGAAGAAAATGGAACAATGTATTTTATTATACAAAGCTTGAATATGTTAAAAACTGTGTTAAAACTCTGTATGCCATAGTCATGTATCGTATAGTTTAATGCTTTAGCAATATAAGCATGTATAACAGAAATCCTTAACATGGGTATTTGTAAAAACTTGTGTTGAAAAGTACGCAATTCCCCTTTCGAGGAGAACATCTGTTATGTATTTGCTTGCAGGAAGTAAACATTTAACCACAGCAACGAAGAAGGACACCTCTAACGCACCAGCTTGCACGCACAGGATGTGACAAACCACGAGGTGTGTTCATTAAGGTCTGTGTTAAAAGTCTAAAGGGATAAACTAACAAGGTAAAGTTAAAATGGTGTAAAACTGATGAATGGAGGTAGTATAGAAAGAAGGGGGTTTCTCGGTACCTCGTGGTGGTGTGTGAGGACACACCTTTTATGCCCGGACTGAGTAAAAACCGAAAATATTATAACACAGGTAATGCGGAAAGAGTTGATATACATCAGTAACTTTCCAGAAACCATTTATGAAATCATGATCAATTAAATATTATTATGTGAGAAAAAGTTCACTTTCCATCACATTTTTTTTTAACTACGTCACAATATTACAAATATCCAAAGGGTTTTCTCCCAAATTAGCGAATTCACTCATTAGGTACAATAACCTAAATGTTACAGCCTATAATATCTTCTCTCTTCTTTGGAACTCAAAATATATAGCCTAAGAAACATAATGAAAATACCTCCTTTTCCAACCAAGCAAAGAGTTCACATAAGGCAGCTGCATCCTTGATCTGTTGGGGAAAAGTGCAGAAGACGAAATACATTATCTGTGAGGTGAGATCAGTTGTATCAATCATAAACTATTAATTAGTAAATGCACACAACAGATTTTAAGGCACTCATAAAGTTCTTACATGGGCCATTTTCATGCCTTGAATCTCAGTGGCGTTCTTCACAGCTTTGGCGAGGCAGAGGGGAGTGTAGGGAATCGGAGTCCTGTGGATCTGAAACACATCAAGCAGCAACAAAGACAATTCAAATGTGTATATTAAAGTATTTAAAGTAAAGTTGTGTGCTGTCAGAGCCAAGAGAACCAAAATGCCCATCTGACATCAGACAGTAAACTGAATTGACTTTGTTGATCATTTTCATGCAAGGATGAGTCTAGATCTAACTGAATGATAAAACACAATAGAATATGGTTAAAGTCCAGTGGTGGAAGAAGTGTTCAGACATTTTACAGAAATAAAAGAAGCACCACTACATCAACAAATAAAAGTGCTAAATGTATCATCATTCTCAAGTTAAAGTGTGAAAATATTAGCATCAAAGTACCAACATTTGAAGTTCTTATAATGCAGAATGGCCCATTTGAAAACATTTCGTGATTTAAAAATGGTTTACAAGTGATTGAATCCTTTTAATTAAGTAAAAAGTTGAATATTTGCCTCCAATATGTAGTCAAGTGTAAAGAATCATACAATTGAATACAAAATTAAAGTAGAAGTACCTCAAATTTGTATTTAAGCAGCGTATTTGGTCACCTTTCATAATTCTTCACTAACACTAAGAAAGTGGATCACATCACTCCAGTTCTGAAGTCTTTACACTGGCTTCCTGTGTTTCAAAGAATTGATTTCAAAATACTGCTGCGGGTTTGAAAAGCATTGAATGGTTTAGGCCCAGACTCTCAGGTCTTCTGGGACTGGTCAGCTTTCTGTCCCGAGAGTCAGAACTAACATGGAGACATTCAGTTATTATGCTCCAAATATCCAGAACAAACTACCAGAAACCTGCAGGTCTGGATTCTTTGAATGTTTCTTTTATTATCTTTGCATTTTGATGAATGCACTTTGAATTGCCTTGTGTTGAAAGGTGCTATATAAATAAACATGCCTTGCCTTGCCTCGCCTTGCCTTAAATTATGAGTGGTTTTATTTAAAACAAAAGGGATTCCTATTATTAAAACATTGTGCTCAATCATAACCTGATATATCAGGAAGTGTATGTGTTCTGTCTTTCAACAAGTACGATTGAAACCATAGCTGCAAAAGACAAAACATTTGAGCCCCTTACAGGAAACTGAATGTGGAATTGAATTAGAATGACGAGACAGGTGTTGCTTTAGGCGTAGCCCGATCTATGAATGAGTAAATCACCGCCTAGTTATGTTCCTGGCTGCTCTCTCACCTTGGGGATGACCTGTGTGAGAGCACAGCTGGCCTTGTCGCTGATCCACACTTTGTCCTTGGGGCTGTGTGCCGCGCAGATGGCCTGCAGCTCAGAGTACACCGACTCGTACGGGTACGTGTGGACGCTCATCTCGGGCTTGCAGGGGGAGTCCAGCTGCAGGTGGTCTCTCAAAGCGGGAACAGAAAGACGCTTAAGGTCCACAAAAAGCCTGCAGAAGGGAAGGAGTGGGGATAAAGGGAACTCAGGTGAAAACCTTTCACCTGCAGTTTGGGTAGTTTTAAAGGTCCCCTATTATACTGTTTTTCATCAATATATTACAGGTCTCAGATATATACAAACATGTCTCTGAAGTGTTTGGCTCGAAATACCAAACAGATCATGCATTGTAGCATTCCATAATCCCCTCTGTTTCAGCCCTGTTTTAAAAGTGCTGATTCTCTGTCTGCTACTTTAGATGAAAATAAGGAGCCACTCCCCACGCCCCTCTGAGAGATATTTGGTTAAAAAGAACAGAATTGTGCTCTAGGAGGAGATTCAGGTGATAAGGGGGGGGGGGGGGTTACCTTGGTTGGTGATTGGCTAATGGTTAAACAAGCCAACAAAATCGTTATGACATCATAAAGTGGCCAAAATCTAATCAGCTCATTTTCAGACAGGTTTTTATATAAATGGATCAGGACAAAAAGAGAGAGAATCTTTTTTCCTGAAACATTCAGAATCTCTTTACACAGAGGGGACACATGTGTATGTGTAAAAGACATGAACAAGTGGATTTTGCACAATAGGTGACCTTTAATATTTATTGGGGTTATGCTAATGTTTGTACTTTCATGAATGTCCTGACAGGTATTCTACTGATGAAGGACAGTGCTGGCGTAATTACGTCTTCACCAAAGACCCCATCTACTTTACTGGCCTGGCCTCGGAGCCGGGAGCTCGCTCCATGAACGTCAGTGTCTGGGGCTACAGAGACGCCCTCCTCAGCCAGTACTGGATCTCCATCACCATCGACTTCAGGGATCTGCTCACCAGAGACTGTGCGTGACAGGACACATTGTCTGGGATACAAACAAAACTGACCTGTCAATCATTTTGGTGTCTGATTGAGTGGTTTATGTAAACAAAACATTTGATGGAACCCGCAGGTGGTGATTGATGGATCTATTGTGCAGTTGGTTTTGGCCCACTGCTTGATGGCCCCATCAGTGCCCCAAAGATGGGGGGGGGCATTTGGGCTGGGCTACCAAAGAGGAAGTTCCTGCGGTCCTCAGGGAAGGGACTTTCTGTTGCTGGAGACGGCGGACATTTTCGCTGGTCACACGTCCGCCGGGACCCCCTGTTCGTTGCACCCTTGGGATGACTTCCTTGTGGTAAGTACATGCTTGCCCCAAAATTCATACTAATATTATATGTCTTTTACTGGCTGCGGGGATTATATTGTTTTTTAATTTGGAGTCAAGTCCTTTGTTGGTGTTTAAAGGGTCTTGCAAGTCAAGGAAAAAAGATTTCGCTCAATTAAATTTGACTTCTACTCAAAAATTCAACCAAAATGGGGATGCATCTTAGGATGCAACATAAAACTACAGTAACTGAGGGACTATTTCCATATAAAGTGTCAAACTTGTTTATGGAGTTTATTAGTTTGTAGAAACGTTATCGGGTAGATGAGTCATTTCCTTTGAGAAGAAAGAAGTTACTGGAGATTTAAAATGTTCATGTAAAATCAAATAATTACAGATGCAGATTGTAGGACATGTAGGCTTCTCTTCCCCCACCGCCTTTGCTCACCGATTATTTTGTCTCTCTTGCAGTTGGGGACTTTGGTTACTCCCGTTCCGGGAGAAACAGCCTCTGAGTGTGTTGGAGGCAGGCCGGGACCTGAAGGGCCAAGTGTGGGTTTCTGTCTGCTAAGGGCAAAAGAGGCACTGCGGGGACAGTGGGTGAGTGACTGTGTGGGATCCTCTCCTGTGTTTATTAGGCACTTACATGATTCCACTTCAAAACTTGGTCTATAATGATAAGTCTGGCTGATATGTTTATCCATTTCCACTTCTTATACAATATATTTCAAACATTTTCCAAACACGTATATTGCCAACATTCTTCTTGGTATGGTGTTAGATAGAAGTAAAGGGATAGCCGGTTCAGTTGGTTGTCCAGTAGAGGACAGTAATGGAGGGAGAGTGTAAGTAGAGATCAGGGTTCAGGGGGAGCAGAGGAGGGGAGAGTGACTCTAATGCTTTCAATGAGGACCAATGAAAAAACAAACTATGATAAGGAGGGACACGCACATCTCAGAGGTCTGATCTGGGACGTTGAACGGGTGCTGATCAAAAATTGGGGGGATTAAGTTAGCAAAGCAAGAACAGAGTTATTTGCAGGGACTCGAAGATTCCATTTGAAAGGATTGTTTAATGGTGCTGTTGTAATTGGTTTGAGTGAATGTTGGGGACATAATCGGAACATGACATTTTGGTTCCTAGCCATATCTTCTTTGCGATTTTGGGTATTTATGTTTTTAATTAGCAAGGGCAGGGGATTTTTAGGATTTTCATTGCCATTGACTGGCATTCCCCTTTAGCATTGTTCGGACTTTAGTTTGTGCTCTGATGGTTATCTTGATTCAACTCTTGGAAGTTGGACTTGGAAAAATCCTAGTGTTCCGTCTGTGTACGCCAGTTGTGGTGTTGTTGGAGGCTCCGGCAGGTGATTGGTGTTGGGACTTCTGTACTTGTCACGGTTTTTCCCCAGTTGAAATTGATCTTTATTGGTGTATTCCATTATTTTTTAGGTTACACGTTATGTGTTAGAAACATGTAAACAGTGAGGGATTCTTAAAAAAAACATTTGCCTTTTGATATAAAAAAAAGGGGGCCATGTTTCTTCTTCTTTAAAAAAAAAAAAATAAACTTAATATTAAATAGGATGGATCATTTGTGAGAGTTAGGTGGGGTTGGCACACACATTTTTGTATGGTCCGTTACAATATGACTGGGATTGTTGATCTAACTAAATTATACCAGTAGTTGTGAACTGGTATCGGGACCCGTGCTGCTTTTGAGATGTGTTATCCGGAGTGGTAGGGAAGTGAGAATGAAGCTAATGCTAATCGTGCTTGGATGTGTCGTTGGTCATCAGTTTAGTGAATTAGATCCCCGGAGATAAATGCTGAGGGAGGGAAATAGGATGCCTTGGTGCGTAAGAAGAGTCCGACGCTCGGCCATGTATAAGAGGCTGTAGTGGAGCTGGAGCCTGGGTGGGCCCGTGACTTGCTGGTCGCTAACCTCCCGGCGTACTTCTTGTAATAGTGGTTCACGAATGGTGAGTGGTGCTTGTCTTGTCGTAGGCTGCCTTTGCTGGTGTGGTCTGGTTCCCGCCCACAAGGTTTTAACAGTGCCTCTTGCCGCCTTGTTGATTCTTGTTTTGCAGATTCGGGACGGGGGTCTTGGTGCGCGAAGGAGTCTGGCACCATTGTGTATAAAACAGGGTCCTCATCCGTCATGGTGCTGAGCATTGCAGCCCGGGAGGTCGTCTTCATCAAGGAAATATGGTCTTTGGTTGGGTGGGCAGGTTCAGTGTATGTAGTATATGTTTATATGTTATACCAGGAGTAGTGGGGTCCTGTTCCTATAAATGCCAGGGGGTGGACTTCGGTTAATTCTTTTGTATATTCAGTTTTGTATTTTTTTTCATGGCGCATCATGTCTTCTAAGCTGTGTGTTTTTCCGAGTACCAGATTTACCGGGATCATTGTATTTTTGTGCCCTGCAGCGTTCCTGGTTCAACTGGGTCCTTCTGTGTCTGCTCGCCTGAGCATGTCGTAGGATAATGTGCTGTTGATAGGTTTATGGGACTGGCTCCCTGGCTCGTTCAGGACCACTCAGTAATGGTCTTTTGATGTAGATGTTTTCACGGGGGACGGATGTTCAGATATATGAGGTACGGTGTTGTGACTCTTTTTTCGCTGTTCTGCATACCTCAGGATAAGATAAAAAAGTCGTCCTAGATATTATTGTACATTTTGTGTACTTATTATAGATGTGGCCTTCTTCTTTTGTGTGGTGTCTCGCTGTGAGGACCCTATATTAATTTACTATTGTTGTGTATTTCTTTTTAAAGCATGCTGTGCTTTGTAATGTGTTCATAAATCCTGAGGAAATTAAGATGAAGTGGGACATCAGAGAAAAAACAACCAACCGACAAAGAATGATCCTGCAGCAACAACTTGGATGCTGTACCAGTTGACTCTTTAGGTTGCCTTTACGTGTTAACTGTTACTGTCTACTCCTGTAAACTCTCCAGCCTGCTTGTTAGAGTCTGACATGTGGTTTCTTGAGGTTTGTCTTTTTTTTTTTAAATGTATGGATGTTTGGTGGAGTGAGCAGGTAGATATGGTCGAAAAATATAATGGGATAATTGTTTTTTTGACATTTGGAAAGGATTGGTCTGATGCTGGTGTAATTCCATACTTTCTGCTGGGTTGTGGCTCCTGCTTGGTTGACAAGTACGTGTAATC